CCTATGTATTGTTACTGTGAAGACGGGGTGAATCCACGCTGTAGAATTAATGTAGTCTGTCACTCCTTTAACTGCCATGACTCAGGCCCCTTCTACACTGAGTATATAATTCAGTTCAAAGCCGACTTGAAGGCAGGAGCAAAGAAAACAAGGAAAGTGTTCTAAAGAAAATTCAGCCTTTCAGGAGGGTCCAGATGGCATGTAAAAGATCGGGAATTTTGGTGGGAACTTTCAGGTGCGTTTTGGACTAGCTTGCTAGGTTCTTGTGAAGCTCACTTTCCCAGACAAATGGAATGTTTTTGAGCTAAGTTCTTGCGAGGGTAGCTATTACATTACACCACTTCTATTTTTGGGACCGCTTTTGCCATACTCCCGTTCAACAATGTTTTTGCCTCATACAACCCTGGTGCTCAGCTGCACTTGCTTTACAAGGCAATTCATTGTTATGGTGATATATGCAAAGGCATGAGTGTGGTGGGAACTGATTTCTTCTCTGATTGTGGCTAGTCACGCGGGAAATTTCCACTGTGTTTAGAGGAATCACACAAGACATCAGTTCCCATGAAATCTTGGTAGCTAAGCAAGGGCATCCCTAGTTAGTATTTGGAAGGAAGACCATAAACAATTATCAGGAAGGCTGTATTTCAGAAGAGGGAGCTAGCAACACCTTCTACGTATTCATTGCATGTTCTCATTTGGTAAGCTGGGCAAGTGCGACGGGCAGCCCCACCGAAAGCAGCCATGCTGGTGATATGGGGCATCCTGGTGAATCTCCCCACTGTTGCCCACTTTTTTGACTTCAGTGTTATAAGGTCCTTAATTTTAGAAAGCAGCACCAGCGGAAGAGTACTTCTAGATTGTCCTGCAGACATGAGGAAGTTGAGACTGAGGTCCCATGTGACTGAATGTTTATCTGTCTTTTTATCTACATATGCAGCTGGCAATAATAATGCTCAGTATTTAAATATTGCAGTGGAGATTTTTTTAATTTTTATATTGAAAGAATATCCATAAAGAGGGTTGTTTGTTAGCCTAGCCTTCTAAACCCTTCGCTACCTCTTTCTGTTGGCAAAGGACCCAGCCATTGTGTCTTCTTTTGCAAGGCAAATAACAGTATAGAATAGGTTTTAGAGATCCGGCAAGGAATGGCAGTGAACAATATTTTGTTCTCAGCATCCATCTGCAGTCTTTCAATAATTAATTGTCAGCTAAAGGCTAATATAAAGTAGTGATATGGTACCCAGCTTAGTATTTGTAGATCCTCTGTTTCTTCTTTCTTTATGCCGGTCCAAGGGAACATTGAATTACTCCTCTGCTGAAGAAACTAAATTTCTTCTAAACAATAAATGCAAACATGTGGCTTTTAAAGTTTTCTGGTATGCAATAGTTACAGCAAAATTAAACTCAAACTGGATGCAATATGTCTGGGAGATAATTTATCTGTCTAGACTAGAGCTTTCCAAACATTTCTTCTTAGTGACACACTTTTTAGACATGCTTTATTTTGCAACATAGTAATTAAGTTTTAGTAGCAAACCAGAGGCAAGATACGGACACACACACAAACTGTAATAACAGAAATTATGGGAACAAAACATCTCTCATAAGCAATAAATATATATAGTTTTTGCTTGGGTTGCTGTGACTTTTTTTGGGCAGTATGGCCATGTTCCAGAAGCATTCTCTCCTGGCATCTCTCTCTGAGGATGCCTGCCATAGATGTGGGTGAAACACCAGGAGAGAATGCTTCTGGAACATTGCCATACAACCTGGAAAACTCACAGCAACCCAGTGAATCCAGCCATGAAAGCCTTCGACAACACAATTTATTTCTTATTTCCCGTAGACTCAGACATTTCTCATTATGTTTGCTTGACACATCTACACAATGCAACCAACACACTAACATTTAATGTGTTACAACAAACAGTTTGGAAAGCCCTTGTGTAGACCATCTCAGTTAAATGTGTTTTCTGTGTTGACTCTTTTGTTATATTGGGTTTCTTTAAAAAAGGAAATTCCATGGCAGAGGTAGCAAATGTATGGCTTTCTTTATGGTGTTGTAGTGCATCTTCCGTTAAATTTCACCTCTAGACTGTGATAGCTAAGGCTGATGAGAGTTGCAAGGTCTAGAGGGTCACATGTTCTCCACCTTTGATGTGTGGCACAAATGGACTGCATGAGACCTTTGGGACTGCAAAATGTGGCCTATGGAGCTGCACTGAATTTCCTTGAAGCCACTAGATGCCCCTGTCCCTAAAAGTATTTTGTGCACTTACATTTGAGTCAAATCTGCACCTCAAAATTAGAGAAATCAACCTTCAACCAGCCACAAATGTGATCGTTCTAACCATCACAAATTGCTTAAAGTATTCAACCTTCCCTGCAAAAAAAAAAAAAAAAATCTGAAAATTGGGCAAAATGGCAAGTGGGGCAGGATAAGGAAGAGAATGGAAAAGGTCCTTCTACGATTGCCCACCTCAGGTATATAGCCTTCTTGTTAAAATGTTAAGCTGAATCTAATGGACCTGGATATATTTCAAAATGGGAGGATTGCTGGTTGAAAGTTGCAGCTCAGTGTTTGGAGGCCAGCTTCTAAGACATCCATAGATAGTTCCTTCTCAATGTGTTTTTGAGAGGTTTCTCACTATCATCTTGTATATTTGTCTAAGCAGAAAAAGACTAATGACTGGCTTCTTTCCTCTTCCCCCAGTTTCAGCCGATGAGGACTGCAAATGGTACATGGACAAAAATGGCTCCTTGCATCATGGCTTTGACTGCCACTTTCCCTATTTCTGCTGTGGTGACTGCTATCAGCGTTTCTGCTGCACCGACCTCAGGAGACTCATCACCGAGCGGCAGCAAAAGCACTGCATGGCATTCAAGTAAGGACATCTGAAAACTAAAGAGGCCGGTGGGAAGGGACAAGTCATTACTCTTAAAAGCTTATAGATATCTCTAAAGAACCAGAGTCGATGGGGTGGAGAGATGGGAACAGTTTCATGGTTTCATTTTGTTCGTTACTAAAGGTTAAGTACACAGTTGGCAGATTAACACATGTGTTTGTTTTTTTATGTTTGAATAAGTGTGTGATGTGTCCAGTTTGGCTTTCCATTCATGCCTCAATTGACCTGACTGGCTGAGAGTCTACACTGAGGAGATGGAGCACAATGTGGGGCTCATGGAGTTATGCAACAGTTACCCAACAATTCCTTTGCTAGTGAATTACAATGCTTTGCAACTAAATGTATGCCAAATCCCTGCATACATCTATATGCACAGTGTGTAACTGTAACATATCTACTACCTAGAGGACCTTGAACTAAATATGACCGTTCTGCAGTGGACTAAGTGTTGATCTATTCCTGTAAGCAATCTTATGCATGCTTAAGCTGCCAATACATTATTGCCTCTATGTTCTTAAGCCTATCATCAGGTTAACTTAACCATAGTTGGAGGATCTAACCCAGGTATGAACGAACTTCAGCTCTGCGAGTGTTTTGAACTTCAACTTCCACAATTCCTAACAGCCAGTAAGCTATTGGGAATTATTGGTCTTCAGTCCTGTTGGCACAAGGATTTAACCCATCGCACCACGGGTCGGAGGTTCAAATCCAGGGAGAGCACAGATGAGCTTCCTCTGTCAGCTCCAGCTCCCCATGTGGGGACATGTGAGAAACCTCCCACAAGGATGGAAAAAACATCCTTGCAGACAGCCAATTCTCTCACACCAGAAATGACTTGCAGTTTCTCAAGTCTCTCCTGGCATGAAGAAAGAATAGGAATTGTGTGAGTTGAAGTCCAAAAAACTTAGAAGGGTTGAAGTTTGCCCATACCTGATTTGACCCAATCTTTCTGTACTAAATCTTAAATGAAATAGTGATTCTTTTGCATATAATGATGAGTATGGGGCTGGGGCTGGTTCAGTTTTTAAATGTGTCCAAAGGTAATGTGCCATCTTATTCCCCTGCAGAATGCATATGTTTCTCAATGTATAATTAAAAATCCAGTCATTAATATATCAATAAAAGTAGATTTCTTGGAAAAATCAATAATGTCTTATTGGAATCAAATGCCATGTACCCAGGTCAGTTACCATCTCTGTTTGCTCTCTATAGCCCAAGAACAATTGCTGGTATTGCTTCTGCTGTGATCCTCTTTGTGGCCATAGTTGCCACTATTGTTTGCTGCTTCCTGTGCTCCTGTTGCTACCTGTACCAGAGACGGCATCACATCCAGACACCTTCACCTTATCAAGGTAATTCTGTTCTAGCTGTTGTGGAAAATACCTTTCTTCTAGGCCAAATCTGAAGATGCTGTGAATATCCACAACTGACACACATCCTAATGCACATATCTTCCTTTCTGTTAATGTCCTGCCTTTGCATTAGTTTGAGATGATTGTGAATGCTTGGGTCAATTAAGTGTTAGTTTGAGACCATTTTCAATACTTGGTGCAATTAAAAAAGAGCTGCAACTGGATCGGCAGCTCATGTACAGCAGTAGAGAACTATAAAGAACTGCAAAAGTCCTCCCAAATATCTGAACTGAGGAGAAGAGCATTTCAAGCTCTCTCATGTGGAGGACCAGCAATTGGTTTCTCCAGTGTCCCAGTACCACATTAGTGCTCATTGGCTACAATTCTTTCTTTTTTCCTGGAAACTCATTGCCTCTGGTGGCATAATGAGTTAAACCCTTGTGCCAGTGGACTGCTGACTGAAAGGTCAGCAGTTTGAATCTGGGGAGCGGGGTGAGCTCCCGTCTGTCAGCTCCACCTTTTCATGCAGGCACAATAGAGAAGCCTCCCACAGGATAGTAAAACACCCGGGTGTTCCCTAGGCAACATCCTTGCAGACAGCCAATTCTCTCACACCAGAAGTGACTTGCAGTTTCTCAAGTTTCTCCTGACACAAAAAGCCCACAAATGGGTAGACTACAGCTCAGGGGCTAGCAGATGGGGAAAAACATTGATGCTAGGGGTGTGGGACATGGATTACTCCCCTCCCCAACCAAGTGGAATGGATTGTCCTAAATTCCTGACCCCTCCTCTGAGGTCATCAAGCCTTTTTCTTTCCTTTTCCTCTTCTGTGCTTCTTTCTGCAGAGTGAATGGCCTTGCTATCTCCAGCCTTAGACTGGGGAAATGCAATCTGTTGTTTAGAAATCTTGTTTCTGTCTCCAACCAAACTCTCTGTTGGGAACACACATGAGAGGGAAATCATGCATTTATCTTTAGTCTCAAAATGATCATAATGATGAGATGCATCTGCGGCTCATAATGGAGCTAAAACTGTTTTGAGAATTCTTTAATAATGGAATGTGAGCCAACTTTAAAGCAGTTTCACATAAATTAATGCATTCATATTTTACAGCAGGGCTTAGATTACTCAGATGTGTTTTCCAATGGGGAATCTTTCCAAGGGCATCTGACTTAGGCCCCTTCTACACTGTGCTTATATCCCAGGATCTGATCTCATGTTATCTGCATTGAATTGAATTATATGAGTCTCCACTGCTTATCTGGGATAAGCAGATATTCTGGGATCAGAAGGGGCCTATTTATTTATGGTGTCAGAAACGAATTGAGGATACAGTTGTAATGTATTTAAAAATGCAAAGTTTAAAACATGGCATTACCCTAAATGTCCTTTGACCAGTAGCTGGCCAGTTGGAGTCCCTCTGGTGTCGCTGGGAGAAGGTCCTCCATTGTGTATGTGGCAGGGCTCAGGCTGCATTGTAATAGGTGGTCTGTGGTTTGGTCTTCTCCCACTTTGTAGCCCCATTTCTTAAGGTTAGCTCTTCATCTCGTGGTGCCAGAACACATTCTGTTCAGCAAGTTGCCCAATCTTCTGTGTGCCCAGGAGGAATCTCTCATTTGGTATCAGCCATGGCTTGAGGTTCTGGGTTCTGGGCTGCCACTTTTGGACTCTTGCTTGAGGATGTATTCGAGTAAGTATCTCTGTAGATCTTAGAAAGCTATTTCTTGATTTAAGGCATTGGTGTGCTGGCTAATATTCAAACAAAGGATGGGCCAGAGATGTCACTGCCTCGATCCTTTCATTATTGCTGCTACTTCCTGGCTGATATCAGGTGGTGCAATCCCAGCTAAACAGTATAATTTATCCAGTGGTGTGGGGCGTAGACAACCTGTGATAATGTGGTATGTTATTGTGAAAGCCCTGTACTTCAGTGTCCCTTGCTCTGATGCATCAAGGCGGTTGTTCTGTGATACTTTACTCAAGTATATGCAAATTCCAAGTGTATGTGCTTGTTTCATACCAAGCTGTGGTTGGAATATTTTCTGTGCTACTGAAAAAAAAAAGAATCTCAAAGCTTGTAGTCTCTCCACCTATTTTATGGGATAGGTGGGAATTAAATATTGAAAGACTGCAAAAGGTACAGAGCAGAAGTGTGCTTGCACTTGGTGGAGGTCCCAAGTTGAGATCTTCACTTAGAGCACCAACTCAGAAATTGCTGTGTTTTTGTTTTGGCCCCAGGTCAGGACATCCCATTGTCTGGCTACCCTTCTCAACCTCCAGGCCCTTATCCTATGGATCCCAAAGCAGGACCAGCACCATTTCATCCTGGATATGCACCTGTGGCTGGGTATCCCCCTGCAGTGCCCACTGCACAGTATCCTATGTACCCACCTGGACCACCATATTACAACCCTTCAGGTAAGAAAATAGTGTGAAGCAACCACACCTGGGGTTTAAAAGCTTTGTCTTATCTCCATTACAGTAGAGTCTCACTTATCCAATCTTCGCTCATCCAACATTCTATATTATCCAACGCAGTCTGCCTCCTGCCCAGATCCACAGCTGTTTCAATACATTGTGATGTTTTGGTGCTAAATTCGTAAATACAGTAATTACTACATAACATTACCATGTATTGAACTGCTTTTCCTGATGATTTGTTGTAAAACATGATGTTTTGGTGCCTAATTTGTAAAATCATAATGTAATTTGATGTTTAATAGGCTTTTTCTGAATCCCTCCTTATTATCCAACATTTTTGCTTATCCAATGTTCTTCCAGCCCATTTCTGTTGAATAAGGGAAACTCTACTGTATTATGCAAAGGACCTGCCCTGGAGGCGAAAGGATTACAAGGTGAACCAGCTACCAGTGGTAAAAGTGGCCAAGTGGTGTTAACGGCACCATTTTAGTTCTAGATCAGTATTTCCAAAGTAGAGGTTGATAAATCTTTTGATTGATTAACATGGGAGGAAAATCTATATGGGTTACATTATTCAACTTCTTACATACATCTCAGAAATCTATGTGTAGATCAGGGGTCCTCAAACTAAGGCCCGGGGGCCGGATATGGCCCTCCAAGGTCATTTTCCCACCCCTCGCTCAGTGTCAACCTGTCTGAAATGACTTGAAAGCACACAACAACAACAATCTCATCTCACCAGCCAAAAACAGGCCCACAATTCCCATTGAAATACTAATAAGTTTATATTTGTTTAACTTGTTCTTCATTTTAATTATTGTATTGTTTTAAAGTGTTTTTTTGCACTACAAATAAGATATGTGCTGTGTGCATAGGAATTTATTCATTTTTTTCCAGATTTTAATCCGGTCCTCCAACAGTTTGAGGGACTGTGACCTAGACCTATATTTAAAAAGTTTGAGGACCCCCTGGTGTAGATCTTCACATCTCCCTCTGTGAGCCAGTGTGAACTTTAAGATCTTCCGGGGAGGCCCTCCTTTTGCTCCCACCACTGTCACAAGCATGGTTGGTGGGAACGAGAGAGAGAGCCTTCTTGGTGGTGGCCCCTCACCTCTGGAATGCTCTTCCTAGAGAAATAACATAGGCCCCATCCCTCCCCTCTTTTTGTAAGAGTTTGAAGACCTGGTGGTTTCAACAAGCCTTTGAGAACGACTAGTTCTAGTTCAGCTCCTGACACTGTTGAATATGGCCAGATCTTTTTCTATGAATTACCCAGGTCACTTTCCCCTAATAGGCCCTGGAAATGAACAGCTATAGGCTGTACCTGTTATTGTTGTGGCCTGCTATAGCACTGCACCTAATGTCCCGGGCCCTCTAGAAATTTTGAGCTCGTACTAGACTCGGCCCGGCCTTTTAAATTGCCTTGAACACGCTGGGTTAGGGTTAGGGTTACTGTGACTCTTTATGCCTATATTGTTTTGTTAATTTATGTTTATGTTGTTTACTTTTTATGTATTGATGTTACTTGGAAACCGTTCTGAGTCCCCTTGGGGAGATAGGGTGGTATATAAATAAAGTTTTGTTGTTGTTGTTGTTACTTTTTGAAGTTCAATTACATGATCCCTGGTTAGCCAGCTGAGTTCACTGGAAGAATTCTGAGCATTGCAGTGTGATCAGTCAGTTAAGTACCAAGCCTTGCAGCAGAGATGGGCAAATGTGCCGCTTTCTTTGGTTGTGAACAGCCTATTAGGAGCTGTATTCACAAAACATCTGGAAGGCTGTTTTGTCCACCTCCGCACTACATCCAGGATAGTAGTAAATGCTTCCTTCAGTATTCTGAATATTGGTGTTTTACTTTTGCAGCTCCACCACCCTACATCCCACCACAGATGTCACAAGCTAGCACCTGAAGAGGATTTTGCAGAGACTATACAGTGAAAGCATTTCTCTCTGGGCCTGTCAGATTCATCTCTGCAGAATTTCTATGGACTACCTGCTGCACTGGAATTCCTGCCTGGGCTTCAGTATTTGCCAGTTCCCTTACTAGCTGTTTCCTTTTTGCTGTGCATGGTAGGAAGCATTATGACCCTACTCCTTTGCTGCTGCCCTTCCCCACACCTCCTGCCCCCGTCACTGAGAGAAGCTCCTAGTTCTCTCCATTTCCCAGCTAGGCTCAGGAAAGTAATGGTGCCAGTGCAAGCAACCAAGGCTGATACAAATGGCACCCGTGTTCCCTCACCCCAAATTCCCCTGAGTGTCTTTAATGGAACGTGGTAAAGCAGCAGCCTCAAGATAAGGAGAAACACGGTTTCATCTTTCACCTGGTAAGAAGACAGCCTTTCTCACACTGAGACATTGGTCCTGCCCATTTCCTGACAAACTATGAAGATCAATCATGAGGGATGCCCACTATTCAAACCCTTGATGGCTCAGCTGATGTTTGGTGTCTTCAGAAATACCCAACTCTTTACGATGGTGAATATGAGGGTACCGAAATGCTTCAGGATTCCAGAGACACTTTGTGTTGTTGCATATAACTGAACAAAATGGGTGCCAATATAGTCACCACATGGTGGATATTATGTGGAAGTCCCATGCAGCCTACTCTGAGTTACCCAAAAGGAAAACATTAACTGGAAGGAATGCATGGAGGTAGAACACGAGTGGGGAAATCGAGACTATCCACATGTAGTTGGATTGCATCTCCATGATTTCTAGCCAGAATAGACAATGAGGGAGTGTGGGGATTGCAGTGAAATGTCTGGACATCACATCCCTTGATTTCTTACTTAGAGCAAGACCTTTGCAAGAGATGGGATAAGATCCTGGGAGGACCAGGCAGCTTAAGAGCTGCTTAGAAAACAGGAAGGGTCCATATTATTGCATAATTTGAGGATTTTGAGGCCAGGTTCCTCTTCTGTCCTTCTTGCACAAGCCTGAAAACATATTTCTGTCATTATTTTGCAAACTGAAGCCACATTTCCCATGGGCACTGCCTAGGGAGAGTAATTAAAGTAGCTGGGTATGAGATAGATTTTCTGGTAATACAAAAGTCTTGTTGTCATTGTGCAGCTTCAGATGAAAGCTGAACTGAAACTGTTGCATCTGTTCTGTAAAATAACATGAAGCTTGGATATTTGGAAGCGAAAAAAACAACTGTTGAAGTGTGCAGAACTATGAAGTCTTTTAACCGCAATGAGACATCTGGTAGCCTTATTTTTGCTGATTTGCACATGTTAATTGAGCTTAATGTACTGGTATTGCTCATTCTTTGCTAGTGAGGCTGAATGGGAAAAGAAACTGGAGGAATCTGGAGCCTAAAAGTGTTGCTTGGACTACAGCTCCAGGAATCCCCAGAAAGCATGACCACTGGCCATAGCGGCTGGGGCATTTTGGGAGTTGTGATCCCCAAGATAAACCTTTCCAGACTCTGGCTGGGCCTTGCACTTCATGTTGGAAGGGAGGCTTGATTGAAACCAGCTCAGCAACTAGTTCTGCACATAAATGGGGGTACCCTGAGGACAGAGTTGAGAGGAAATTGGACATGTATTTGTTTATTTACAGCATTTATATTCTGCCCTTCTCACCCCAAAGGGGACTCAGGGTGGATCACAAAACACATACATGGCAAACATTCAATGCCGTTAAACAGACAGGACAGACAATAGATAGTGGTAATATGTTGGCATTTCCCCCCAACTTCGGCGTCCTGGAGGTTGTGCTCGATTCTGGCCACAGGGGGTACTGTCGCTCCATCCTCTATGACAAAGAGCCTTGATCACAGACTTTCTCCTTCCTTTGATCCTTATCATTTTTCTGGTATTTTCTTTGTGGTGCCGTAAAATATCTCCCTGCTTAAGCGGTGCCTATTTCTCTACTCACAGCTCACAGTTGTTTTCGAACTGATTAGATGAACAGTAAGTTGGGCTGAAGGTTGGGTGCTCAGTGCGACCTGGGCTTTGAACTGGCAACCTTTCAGTTGGTAAGATCTATGGCTACTGATGATTAATCAGCTTTGCTAAAGCCCGGCCCTGGGGAGGGACACTGATTGAAAACATAATTAAAGACAAACAACCACAGTTGTCCTCTTCCTCTGTCATTTAGTCTTTTCAGGCTCCAAGTTCTTTTCCTTTCCACCTGAATCCTTTCTGAGCACAGTCAGTGACTAGAGTTCTGTTCAACTTTTTGCTAGCATAACTATGGATTGTGCTAGTAGATGACATTGGGGTATCCTGTTACTCAAGAAGTTTGCTCAGCTGTTCAGTGGCTGCCAGATGGCACCTGAGCATAGCTCTCCCACTGATGGCCATGGATGCAAATGCCCATCATGCCTTGGAGAGAGCTTCCCATGGATGGAGAGAATGATAATATTCTTACCAGGGCCAGGATGAATTATTTTGTTCCCTGGGTGAAGGACAAGATGGCACCATCCCATGTCTAGAAGGCTGTTGCATTGCCAATGAAATCTTACTAGTAGCAGAATGAAGAGATCAAAATAGGCTGCATTTAGGGAGAGGGGTGGTCACCTGGAATAAGCTCAGGAGGAGGAGCAGTCAAGAGATTGTCATTGTTACCCACTTGCACCTACCACCTAAGATAGTTCCTCACCTCTTTCTGCCCTAGATAGGGCTGGTTTTGATTCTAACATGGAGCCCTCGGTGGCGCAGTGAGTTAAAGCCTTGTGCTGGCAGGACTGCCGACTGACAGGTCAATGGTTTGAATCCAGGGAGAGTGGGTTGAGCTCCTTCTGTCAGCTCCAACTCCCCATGCAGGGACATGAGAAAGCCTCCCACAAGGATGGTAAAACATCAAAACATCTGGACATCCCCTGGGCAACGTCATTTCAGACAGCCAATTCTCTCACGCCAGAATCAACTTGCAGATTTTCAAGTCGGTCCTGACATGAGAAAAAAAAAATCTAACATGGCCAGTTGACCCAACTGTCTTTTTTCCTTCTCAGAAATAATAGCTCAGCTGCACCTTTGTGCAACATTGCTTCTTCCAGCTGCCCCCTCCTTGGCTTTGTCTGTAGTCATTGTGAAATATGTCTACTAAGGCCCTATCTACACTGCCATATAAAATCCAGATCATCTGCTTTAAACTGGATTATATTAGTCTACACTGCCATATAACCCAGTTCAAAGCAGATAATCTGGATTTTATATGGCAGTGTAGATCAGGCTGAAGATCTTGTAGCATTGCCATATTTGCTGCAGAGCTTCTCTGTGCTTTTTTGTGTGTTCCTGCTGCCCATCAGCAAAACCATCTAACACTCAAGCATAATATTCTCCTTCCTGAGATGGGCCAATGTCCTGCTTGTGGAGATGAGGATGCAAGGTGCTGCAGGGCCAGTTGTATTGCAAGCTGAGTCTCTGTTTAAATTTCTTGCAAAAAAATATGGAGGAAGGCAATCTGGATGGTTGGGTGTGTGTGTGTGTGGAACAAAGACACCATGCACTAGTCCGGGTACAAAGGCAGTCCTTGTGCAAGGTGGGCTGGGAGGAGGGGAGACGCATTTGCATGGTGATTTCCCACCAGTGAGGCAATTCCCCATGGCTTCATGGCACTTAGCAACTAGGGAAGTCAATGGCCCCATTGTGAAGGAAAGCAATGCACTGTGCATGTGGAATTTTTAAAAATGGCTTTAGGCTTTATCCTCTAAATAAAGTCCAGTCTTGTAGACCCAAAGCTAATGGCCTTGGTGTTCAGAACGCCCTCTGGGTGCATCTCTCTTTTGCTATGCTTTGATGTCTTTGTATGCTGTAAGAAAATATCCAAATTGAAAACAGGAGGGATCTATAGCCTCAAACCGCTGATCTGAAGCCTTTCCCCCCACTGTGTGGGGATGACCTGTCTGTGTTTCCGCAGCAGTTACTACTGCTACATTCTGTTGTAATCAGAATGGCAAGAGTTTGCATCCTAAAATGTTGCTAAAATGTGGATTAAAAGTATCAGTATTGATAAGACTGTTGCTTTCTCTCTCTGTGTTCTACCTAAATGGTTAGGAACTTGGGACAGTTAGTTTTGACACGCATCATTACAGGATCGGTTGTCAATGGAACACCTGTTGAACATTGTATTTTTTTAATACTGGAAGTGGCCAGGAGTTCATTTTCTGTTTTTGTTTATAATGCTGGAAGTCACATATATTTCTTCACAGAACAATAGTTGGCTCTTCACATTTGGGGATTTCACTTTTGCAGATGGATTATTTGCAAGTTTGATTTCTGTGTTCTTTCTAGAAATCTCTAGATTCTTTCTCAGGGGCTTTGTTAACTTTGGGTGAATCTAAGCCAGCGTTTCTCAACCTGGGGGTCTCGAGGGGCATGTCCAAAGATAATCAGAAAACACCGGGTTTTTTTTGTTGGTCATGGGGGTTCTGTGTGGGAAGTTTGGCCCAATTCTATCATTGGTGGGGTTCAAGGGGCTCTTTGATTGTAGATGAACTATAAATCCCAGCAACCACAACTCCCAATGTCTATTTTCCTCAAACTCCAGTGTTCACATTTTGGCATATTGAGTATCCGTGTCAAGTTTGGTCCATCATTGTTTGCATCTACAGTGCTCTCTGGATGTAGGTGAACTACAACTCCAAAACTCAAGGTCAATGTCCATCAAACCCTTCCAGTATTTTCTGTTGGTCATGGGAGTTCTGTGTGCCAAATTTGGTTCAGTTCTATTGTTGTTGGAGTTCAGAATGCTTTTTGATTGTAGGCTAGCTATAAATCCCAGCAACTACAACTTTCAAATGACAAAATCAAGCCCCCCACCAGTATTCAAGTTTGGGCGTATCGGGTATTTGTGCCAAACTTCGTCCAGTGAATGGAAATACATCCTGCAGATCAAATATTTACATTATGATTCATAACAGTAGCAAAATTACAGTTATGAAGTAACAACAACAATAATTTTATGGTTGAGGGTCACTACAAGAGGGACTATATTAAGGGGTCACGGCATTAGGAAGGTTGAGAACCACTGCTCTAGGTCCTCTTGCATGACTGTGATCACCTTCTGCCATATGCTGGGGGACCTTAAGATTTATAGGCAAACCACTTATTTTGATATTTGTAGGCCCTCTACAAAAAACCCACGTATTCTATAGAATAAAATGAAACTTGGTTATTCGAAAGTGAAACACAACAGTTTAAGTATGCAGAACTATGAAGTCTTTTAACCATGACAAGACATCTGGTGGTCCTATTTTTGCTAGTTTGCATATGGTCATTCAACTTAAAGTACTGACATTGCTCATTCCTTAGTAGTGAGGCTGAGTGGAAAAAGAAACTGGGGGAGTCTGGAGCTTAAAAGGGGTGTGTGTGTTGTGCGCTATGCTTTCTATCAACGATATAGAATGGGGTGGTCAATAGGGCTTGGAAGACTGGCCCTCCAGATATATTGGCAATGCCTCTAGCAATCTTATCCAGTTTGGACTTTTTTGAGCTTGAAGATCTGGAGACCCAAGGTTTCTTCACCTTTGGCATTGTAGATAGATAGTGCTACGACACTAACAATGTTTAACTAGGGAAATGATAGCTTTCTCTTCGTTTTGGAAGAATAAATGACTTGGAAAGGAAAAATGACAATAAAGACATGTTAGAGAAAGTGAGGGAACTTCAGATCTTTCTCTCTGAAACATCCAGTCCTTTGAAACCAAGGAGGTTATTCTAGTATTGGCCAACATAGGCATATTCTGCTCTGGGCTTCATTTGAAGAAGAAGAACTTTATTTTTCTACCCCACCTCCATCTCCCCGAAGGGACTCGGGGCAGCTTACATGGGGCCAAGCCCAAAGCAAAATACAATTAAAAGCAAGCAATAACAAATTAAACAGCAAAAACAGAATAAAACACCATAAAACAGCATAACAATAATAACAAGCATCAAAGGCAACAGCTGACTAATTTTGGAGGGAAGGATGAGAACCACTATGCGAGCTAGTTAAAGGATAAGGTGGTTCAATAAGGTGGATAGCAACGTATAATAACATCGGAAATAACATGGACGCAGAGCAATTTAACAGGATCAATTTAGCTTAACTTGAAGATATATATAGTAAAGTAACATAGGAATTCAGAATCAGGTCATGATTCAGGTCATGATATATGTCATTTATCATAGGAGTCGTCAGTCGAATGCACAATTAAACATCCATTTCTTTAATTCCTGTGGGAGGGTGCCAGCCTGATTTCCCCCGGGAGAGAGTTCTAGAGACAAGGAACCACCACCGAGAATGCCCTTTCCCTCATCCCCATCAACCGCATATGGGATGGGGCGGGAGCGGGACAAGAGCATTCCTGGAAGATCTTAAGGACCGTGTGGGTTTGTAAGGGAGGAGGCGGTCGCGCAGTTAGACAGGCCCTGAACTGTTTAGAGCTTTATAGGTAATAACTGGCACCTTGAATTTGCAACTGTTCAACAACTTAGGAGATTGTTCTCTTTCTCCCCCCACCCCTCCCCAAGCCAACTAACTAGTATCTTACAGGTTGTAGTGCAATATAAAATAAACCATGTGTAGTTCACGTTTGATCAGCCCACACACTGCCTTGCCAGAGAAAGAAAATATGCCACACAGATGAACAATGAAGAGCATGTAGTTTACTCTTCCTTATTCAGAACAACATATTTACAATCATGTGATCAGTTGCATCGACTCACATAATGTCATTGCATGCGGTATTTAAAATGGTCTTCCTTTGCCCATGTGGATAAACTCCTTCAGCAGCTCATGAAGCAAGAGCACACTCCAAACTTTGTCTTTCCCTGCATCTTTCTCTGTTTGTCTCCAAGCACCTTCATAGCTCAAGACGGAAAAATGTAAGTGTCCAAAAGTCCTGGGCACTGCCTGATCAATCAGCTTCATGCATCTTATTTTACAGTTGACACACACACACTAACTGATTTCTAACATCCTGCAACACAGGTAACATATTCTGTATAGAGCAGGTATGGTCAAACGTTGGCCCGCCAGGTGTTTTGGACTTCAACTCCCACAATTCCTAACAGCCTACAAACTTCATTTATTCAGCATACAGGTAGATTGCTTATCAGTTGAAAGTTTAAACAGTAAGTTCTCTAAGGCATTCTGTTGTAGTCTCTTCCCGGAATGGAAGACTGGAATTGCAAAATCCAGGACAAACAATGGACTGGCAAAATATTCCTCTCCAATAGTAACTGTAGACACTTCTGAAGTAGCTGAGATACAATACATATGTGCAAGGAGGAGAATACATCTATGTATGCTCACATAGCTTGGTTGCTCCCTGCTGGCCAAGATAGGAATCACAGATCATGCCAGGCTACTTCAGGCCCTTTCTACACTGCCATATAATCCAGATTATCAAAGCAGTTAATCCACATTATCTACTTTGAACTGGATTATATGAGTCTACATTGCCATATAATACAATTCAAAACAGATGATCTGGATTTTATGTGGCAGCGTAAAATTCGAACCTGCGACCTTGAGAGGGGCTGCAGACACCTCTCAAGGCTTCAGAAATGATGTGCAGGGTTGATGAAGTTTCCCTCTGACACTTCCTGAATAGGCAGTGTCTTCAAGGTTAGAATTGCTCTGCTGCCTGTATGGTGAGTGCCTGTTCAATGTTGTGATTGGGTATTCTGAACCCAGAGTAAGGACTTGTCAAAGGCTTTCATGGCTGAAATCACTAGGTTGTTGTAGGCTTTTTGGGCTATATGACCATGTTCTAGAAGCATTCTCTCCTGACATTTCACCTCCATCTATGGCAAGTATCCTCAGAGACCTCATAACCTCTGAGGATGCTTGCCATAGATGCAGGTGAAACGTCAGGAGAGAATGCTTCTAGAACATGGCCATATAGCCCGAAAAACCTACAACAACCCAGACTTGGAGGAACTTTCATAGACAGGGATCGTCAAGGAGCCAGCCAGAGCTCCTCAGTGTCCGCCTTCCACAACCCCCCACTACTGAACTGGGTCACACACTTCTGGACCACTTGAGTGGAAACAGAGTGGAATGACCCCAATTTAAACATACTGGCTCTTTACTGGTTCCTCCTTCACACCTGTCCAGAGCAGGGAGGAGAAAACATGTTAACACAAATTAGAAGCCAGCTGGAGCTTTTGGTCCTTTTCAACATCCAGTGGGCAAGTTTTCTTTAAGACAGTATTCCTGAAATACTGTACCATAATGAAGGTCCACTATCTGACAGAGATAGGTAACTTTATCCAACCTGAAAGCCAAATTTAATTTCAGAGAGGTCCGCATTCCAGTTGCAAATGTGGGACAAAGGAAAAAGTTTGAGGTCAAATATCAACACACTCATCTTAAAACCTTTATTGTCAATAGCTAGGCCTTAACAGCATTTAAACCAGGCATGTTGTAGGCACTCCAGAATGCATACAACAACAAAAACAAAACTTTCTTTATATACCGCACTAGCTCCCCGAGGGTACTCAGAGCGGTTTCCAAGTAACATAATCAATACATACATTGTTTTTTTTTGTCGTGTCAGGAGCAAACTGAGAAACTGCAAGTCGCTTTTGTTGTGAGAGAATTGGCCGTCTGCAAGGTCATTGCCCAGGGGACGCCCGGATGATTTGATGTTTTATCATCCTTGTGGGAGGCTTCTCTCATGTCCCCACATAAGGAGCTGGAGCTGATAGAGGGAGCTCATCCGCCTCTCCCCGGATTCGAACCTGCGACCTGTCGGTCTTCAGTCCTGCTGGCACAGGGGTTTAACGCACTGCGCCACTTGGGGCTCCATTACATACATAGTAAACAACATAAACATAAAATTAATAAAGCAATATAAGCAGATGATGATGGTAGTCTGAACCTTGTTGTTGTTTTCATGTCAGGAGCGACTTGAGAAACTGCAAATCACTTCTGGTGTGAGAGAATTGGCCATTTTCAAGGACACTGTCCATGGGATGCCCGGATGTTTTGATGTTTTACCATCCTTGTGGGAGGCTTCTCTCATG